GGGGAAGCGCCAGCGGATGTACGAGGGTAGGGAGGGCGGGGCCGCAAGCAGACAAGAAAACAGGAGCGGGGTCAAAAGGTAGGGGGAGCGAGGGGGCCGATCAGCGCGATCCAGAGGGAAAGCGCGGGCGATAGGTGGGATTAGTTTAAGGGGGGGGGTTGGGGAGGAATGGGATCGCAATCTGGCGGGTAAATGTCGGGTTTTGGGCGGCGGGATGGAGGAAATGTCGTGCTTTGAGCGGCGGGATGGGGGGTGACGTGGCGGGGGAAAGGGGATCAGGAGATGGCGTGGAAGAAGCAGAGGATGGGCGGGTAGGTAGGGAAGTGGCATGGGGATAAGCGTGCACGTCCACACCGAACTGGGGAATTCGAACGGAGCAACGCAAAAAAAAAAAAAGAAAAAAAAAAGGGGGAGGGACCTTTTTTTTTTTTTTTTTTTTTTGATGGATTGATTGATTGATTAATACAAGGTGGGGAGGGAGGTCGCCTCACCCCCACGAGTACACACACACACACACACACACACACACACACACACACACACCCACACACACACACACACACACGCACGCACAAACACAGAGTCATGATTTTTTTGAGTGTATAGCGAATATGACAACACTCACACACACACATTCACAGAAATGCGCGCGGTCTTTTTTTTTCTTGTTTTTTTTTTTTCTCTTGATTAATTGATTGATATGAAGTGGGGGGTTCGCCTCCCCCCCACGAATACACACACACACACACACACACACACACACACACACACACACATGCATGCGGGGCAACTGCCCGTTTTTTTTTGCTACCAAATTCTTTTTTTTTCTTTTTTTTTCGTCTTTTTTTGTTTTTGATTTTTAAAAAATTCCATATAACGCCAAAAAATAGTCTAAGAAAATAAAATATGGGGTTGTAGATCTCGAAAAGCTCTACAAACCCATATTTTTATTTTTATTTTTTGATTTTTTTTGCCCCTAAAACACCTTCGGATGACCGTCGTCCGTACGCCCGTATGGCCGTTCGTCCATCCGTACGCACAGACCATACGGAGACCCCCCGTACGACGTACGGACAATGACACAGCTCTCTCTCTCTCTCTCTTTCGAGGAAGAAGAAAAACAAGAAGAGGAAGAATAAGAAAACGAAGAAAACGAAGAAAACAAAGGAGAAGGATTAAGATGAAAGGAAAAAAAAAGATTGCAAGAACCAACGAAAAAAACGACGACAATAACAACAAGGAGAAGAAGAAGAAGACGAAGAAGAAGAAGAAGAAGAAGAAGAAGAAGAAGAAGAAGAAGAAGAAGAAAGATGACAAAAAAAGGAATTAAATAAATGAGGAAGAAGAAATAGTACGATGAAAAAAAAAAAAAAGACGAATAAGAGAGATGAAGAACAAAGATGAAGAACAGAAGAAAGAAGAAGAAGAAGAAGAAGAAGAAGAAGAAGAAGAAGAAGAATTGATACAAAATTGATAAAGCAAGGCCAAGCGCTATGCGTCCATGTCTCAATGATGTACATTAGAGCACCTTCACGGACTAACAGCTCAACGCTCACATTCCCCGACGTGTTTCGCCTGGCTGCGCACCAGGGCTTATCAAAGGGCTATCCACTCTCCCGCATCCACCGTAACGTTCCACCTTGAGCAAAGAGGGCCTTCCTGGCCTTGCCCTCCTTAGATATAACCTGCGCAGACTCCACGTCTGCAACTGACTCGGTGGGCGCTTACCTGACTCACCCGTAGCTGACCTGGCATGTACGTCCGCACGTCCCGTCTTCCCACCACCTCACGTGCGCGTCTTTGCCTACGCCAAATTTCCAAAAAGCACGTGTGCCGGTCGGAGGTAAGGACATACAGGACTACTCAGACATTTTCACCTGCTGTACCAGGCCAGCCTTCTGTACTATGTGCTTGCTGGTCTGGCAACCCACCCGTTTTTTCCGGTTCCGGCCCTATCGGCCACCGTGTCCCTCGTCTAGTCTCTGCCTATGCTATCTTCCTACAGTACGGGCATTTCACTATTTCTCCCAGTCCCCAGACTCGTCTTCCCCGCCCTTTGTCCAACTATAACAACCTCGTGCTACTGCCAGTGCCAAGGCCCGATCCTTCCAGATTAACTCTATTGGTTCTTGTGGTTCACAACACTCGAGCCCAGGATTTTCCCTTGCTTTCTAGTGTACACCCCAGATTTTCCGGGCCCTGCTGCTTCCCTTGTCGCTTACGGTGCTACTCTGCCTGTCCCCTCTGCTAATTAATACACACCCCGGTTTGCTTGGGCCCTATATCCTTCCCTTCCCCAGTGCACAGGTACTCGTACCTCTACCCTCCCTACCCTCACGCTCATATCATACACCCTGGTACTAGGCACTCGGTCCTCTCCCGTTCTTGTCTCCTTGCTTCATCGTAGGCTCCCTCCTCTCACGTTCCCATGCCTTCTCCCTTCGATATTCCTGTAGTATTCTAACCGGCTGCTCGGCCAGCGTCTTCAACGCTGCGCCGAACTGGCCGGTGGCTCTGGCAAACACTGCCAGAGCATTTGAAAAGAGCGTCGGGGGATACCTCCGGCGCCCCAGCTCCACGCTAACAGATAGCGCCGCTTGGGCCCCCGTTGTTGGATCGCTCGCATGTTGTTTGATCCTGTGGAGTGCAACTATCACCGTACCTGCCTTCACTTGCTTATCCGAGTACGATGCAAAATCCTGGAAGCACCTGAAGGTTAGCGGGTCTTCCAGCCCAACCTCCTCGTTCGTATGCTTGGGGCGGTCGACAAACTTGATCGGTCCTGGCATAGCAGCAACTCTGATCCCCAGAAAATTGCAGGAGTTGGTGCCATCATCTGTCCTTACCAGCATAAGCTGCTCCCCGTACGCCTTTATGAATTTTTGACAGATGTACCTTGCTGCCAATACTTTCCGATGGTCACTCACATCACATGCTACACCCAACGTAACATCATCCACCAACCTGACCCCGTGCATCAGTCTCTGATCAGCCCCTAGTGAGCTAACAAAATCCACCTCATGTTTTGCACACAGTACATACGCGAGTGATGGGCTTGAATTCTTCCCCATCGGGATGCCCACAACCTGCTTGAGAATCATCTTCCTACACATAACGTACGTATTCTCCAATTCGTAGCTAACCAGCTGCCGAATCTGAGAGAATTTGATTGTCACATAGCCTGGCCCCGGGCTCTTCCTACTAAGAGTTACCACTCAACCTCTTCTGCTCAAGCTCACCTTATACACTCCTCTCAACTCCCACTGTTGCAGCAGCCAATCAACAGCACGCTAAATCGCCACGTGCGGCAGCGAGGTGAACATCTCTTTGATGTCGTAGCTGGCCATCAGGGCCATAGACCTATCATCAAATACACTCAACCCTTTTCCCGCTATCTCTAAGTTCTGTTTCAACATCGCTGTAGCTTTCACGTTGAAATGCTTGGCTTGGGGAACCTTCTCAAGCAGGAAATTCGGTAGACGCGCTAGCCTTCTCCCCGCGGTCTTAGACCCTTTTGTACAAGCCGGCGCTATCGGTCTCCACCTCGTCAGGTCTTTATGCTTCGGCATCACATAAGCTTGCCCTAGCCTGGCTGCTGGGTTCCAGGCCCCTATCTTGTCAAGGGCTTGTTTCTTATACTCCATCCTCACTTGCTTCAGCACCTCTTTCTCGGATGACTCGTATACTTGCTGGTAGGCGACATTCAAGTTGAACATCATCTGAAGATCATGATGGTACGTTGATGGGTACATGACCACTAGATCCCCCGGGTTCCTGTCAACCGGGACAACTACAAGATGGCTCAACTTTGCTGCTACCTCCCTCGCTTGCTCCTCCGTGCATGCTGGTCTTTTCTCTGCTCGGTCTGAAACCATCTCTTGGAACAAACTTGTGTCAGCTACCCAGAGCAAATCCCTCCTCATGACTACTTCCAAGGACATTCCGACAGCTCGCTGGACTTCCGTTGGTCTTGTACCGGCCTCGCTCTGCATAACAGTTTTCCCGTTGTGCAGGAACGGAGGAACCGTCGGACACTGTGCTACCCTTGCTAACACATGTCCATCCACCCTTGGCGGCTTGTCCTGGCTGCAAGTACACACCGCCGTGGCTTCCCTAGCTGCCTTCCGATGATTTACTAATACCTGTTCAACCGTGCTGTTCTTCTTCCACACCACTCTCACTCGGCGTCGCAGCACCGTTTTAAGCACCGGATGAACTCTCCTTTTCTCCACGCATAGTACTACCGTGTCATGTAACTTCCTCTTTCTCAGTTGGTGGCTATATTTCMCCCCCACATTAACCTTCAGCCTGATGTTCACTCCGGTCTTCTTCCTGATCACCGCCGCTATCTTCTCCTTCAACGTTCTCCTCGTAGTCTTCGTTTTGAATTCCCTGGCGCACCTGTATAAGAAGACCAGCTTCGTGACATCGAAATACTTCAGCTTCACTTGCTTCTTCAGTATCTCCAGTAGCAGCCTGAGATACCCTTTCCCTCTACTTGTCACACTCTCAGTCTTTACCACCGGCCCAACTATGAATTTCTCTCCCCGTTCTAGATGTTGCTTGGCTCTTCCTAGTGATAGTTTCATCCCATCCACCACAACAGTCGACGTACCGTACCTCCTCCGGATAATGGACCACTTTTCTCCCCACACCTCACCTCCGGATGATACGATCTCCACCCTCTTCGATCCTGCTGCAAACCTGTCCTCTAGGAGTTCTGCTAAGCTAAAATACCGCTTTCCCTGCTCCACTGACGTGAAGTTCAAGAGCATTTTCCTGTGTATCAGCATGGATCCTTTCACCTTCTGTCTCTCGTTTTTACCTGGTCTGTGGCTCTGTTTCGTCCCTGCTCCGTGGCCAACGACATTCAATGCTGGAGAAACCTCCCGATAAGGGTCTTTTCCAGCACCCGCAAGCTTTCTCCAGCACCCCCTGCCATCGGGAGAACAAGATACTTACTCCATCCAAAGACCTTCAGGAAAGAGTACAACTTGGGGGCATGCCCGTGATTACCGGCCTCTGTACACCGAATGTGCTCCCACCACCTCTCACCTGCTCCTCGTATTGTCTGCCCGATGTACAACCTCTTGCACCAAGGTGAAATCAAGCAATACACAACTGGTCCTCTAAGGTCGAAGAAATCGTGACCCGTAGGGGCCACCATGAGTACCTTCTTCGCCCACGGGGCCCCGTCACTCATCACCAACAAGAGGAACACTGCAATCACCACCTGCTCTATACAAATTCTGAACTTCGTAAACCCATACTTCCCCCGGACGTTATCTCGGAGCCCCATGTACAACAGGAGCTTGTCCCAGAGGTACCGTGCTGGAGGAGCGCACCGTCAATCTGCGTGTGGATCAATATCAACTCCCGACCTCCTGTCTCCTTTCTTGCTTTCGTCACTATCTGCCCCTGTAAGCCAACCATCATACGCCTCTCTCGTTTTCGCTGCTACTAGGTCCTTGATCGCTTGTCCTTTCGATACCCACCTGCTGTTCTTCATCTTACACAGCTGCTTGAGCTCGGGTGCCTGTTTCGTCTGCATGCTCTCTCTCAGCTCGAGGATAAAATCAATCACCCCTTGTCTACAGCTTGATACCACTGTTCCTTTCTTCTTCGCCTCTGCTTTGGCTGGTTCCTTACCTTTCCTCGTGACTGTTGTCTGCCTCTTAGTCGTGGGCACAACTTCACTCCTTTCTGCAATGTTCACTCCCTGTTCACATTCATCCAGATCTAGCCTCCTCTTCGGGTTTAGGTAGGGCTCTGATCTGGGTCCCCTCGATACATCACCCTCTGTACGTTCAAGGAAACGCAACAAGCTATCATGCAGCTTTGCACACTTCTCTTCCGACGCCGTAAGCGTCGAACGCACATGGTCCTTGATCTTCTCCTCTAAAGCGACCATCTGTTTGACGAAAGCTTGCGCTGCCGTGGCTTCCATTATTGCTTGCGCCCGTCTCTTTTCTGCCTACTCCCTTTGCTTTGCTTCCTCCTGCTTTTGTTTCTCTTATTCAAGCCGCTTCTTCTCCAGCTCAGCCTTCTTCTTCTCCGTTGCTTCCAGCTGTTGGCTCTCTACAAACGGGAGCAGCCTGTTCAATCGATCTTCCTCCTCATTCCTCCTTGGCTGACTGTAGGCGGTCTGTCCCATGTTGCCTGATCCGTAACTCCCCCGTCCCTGACTTTGCCAGCTTCTCCCATTCTGTTTGTACGGACAATCCCGTGCAAAATGTCCGTACTCTCCACAGCTATAACACGGCCCTGGCCTGACTGCTGGGAGAGGTGGAGGGGGATGAGGGGGAGGGTAGGGGTGGGGCCTTGCGTGTGCGCCACTCCATTGTAATTGCCTGTACCTGGTCCCGGCGTAGCCTGCGGGGGATACATGGCAGCAGGCCACCCGACAATGCAGACTCCTTACAAGATTAAGACTCTTTCTTGCTCAACTTTCCAACTGGGTCTGTCCACCTTTCCTCAAGCAGAGCAAACAGTGTACTTCAGAACTGCGCGTACTGTAAGCACACCTACACTACCAACTTCCCTTCCACATACCTCGTACCTCCTAGCTGGTCTCCACTTGGCACACCGCTAGTCGTTTGCTCAACGCTGTAGTAAGTGTTCAGTATGCGACAGCTACACCCTCATGCTTTGCAGGTCTTCAGACCACAACATCTACACCCTTCCTTTGCCATGTCCTCCCTCCAGGAGTAGCTCGTTCATCAAGCACACCCACACTACCAACTTCCCTTCCACATACTGCGTTCCTCCTAGTTAGTGTTTACTTGGCACACCTCTAGTCGTATGCTCAACTCTGTAGTAGGTCTTCGGTATGCTGCGGCTACACCCTCATGCGCTGCAAGTCTTTAGACCACTGCATCTACACCTTTCCTTTGCCATGCACTCCCTTTAGGAGTAGCGCGTTCATCAAGACCAATATCCTGGCTCACTCTCTTGCTCAGCCACTCTTACATACTTGACTTACTTTGCGTCAGTTAGTTCGTAACGAACATATCCAGCTCTACCTACATCTCACACAGCAGACCACACTATTTTTATCACAACTCCCCCTTGTTTTCTCGACTCACCGTAACTTTCTGACGCCAACGCAGACAACACTCATTTCCCACCACTATACACGCATAACCCAAGCACACTGTTTTGGGCAACACTACCACACACGCTCGTTCAACGAAGCTAACCACCTCACAATACTTAAAGCAAACGTCCCGTTATTCACAAACATATTACTTTTACCTTTCACAGTTCTAGCGTCAATACTTCCACCCGAGCTACCGACCGTTTCCATCTTCGGTCCTTTCTCTACTTGGCGACGTCCGTTCCTACTGACATGGATCTCTCACCGTCGCTCGCCTCGTCTTTCATGTAACAAGGTACTAGAACACAACCGTTTTCCCAATGCAGCTCGCCTCTATCGCCGTGTTCGTCCCATTAGGTACATTTTTCTCGTTCTTGCCTGCGGTCCTCCCATAGCTACTATCACGTTCAGTATAGCAACCACTCCCCTCCTTTGTGTCAGTCACAGGCTACTTCAACCTTGCAATCGGCCGATTGCATGTCCTAAACCATGATCGACGGTCATGCTCACAAATGCGGTGCTCATGATCGACACTCTCCCGCCGTCATCAGCCACATGTTACACACCAAACTGAGCGATAGACATCCATACCCACTACGTCTCACCTCTTCTGCTGTACTCCAACTTCGAGTATCACCAGCTCCACATCTATTATCACGTTCTGCATAACAGCCATCTCTCTCCTTGGTGTTAGTCACGGGCTAATTCGTCATTGCAATTAGCTGATTAAGCCACGATCGACGATCATGCTCATAATCGCGGTGTTCGTGGTCGACACTCTACAGACACCATCAGCTTCGTGTTACACGCCAAACTTGGCAATAGACATCCACATTACCATTACGTCACGCCTCTTCTGCTGTACTCCGCCTTCAAGGATCGCCCGCATCACCCTCACCTTCGGTCTTCTCATTGCAGCCTGACAACCTCACAACAACCTGCACAACTCGACACACCACTCTTCTTTGTGACTCTTCTTTGTGACAGTTAGTGCGCTGCTCTTCTCGATTACCATCTGCCATACTATTCCTCGATCCGTAGGTTACCCTCCCTCGTACTTATACCATCACTCTGCCCTTCACTCTCCTCGCCGAGCTTACTCGTAACTCCCCGCTCACTCACCTTCTTGTCTCTCATCCGCTTGAATACCTCTATCTCCTCTTCACCATCTCACATTTCCGTTGTTCAATACACCATGTCCTCGACACTCCCGCTCTTGGAACCTCCCCTCTCCTCTGTCGCACTTTCCTATATTTCCTCTCTCTTACCATCCTCTCACCACACTCTTTCCACGTTTTCGTTCGCTCCCCTCTCTCCACTCTATCACTTCCCCCATTTCATCGCCATCACCTCTTGCCTCTCCAACTATCTCATTCGTTCTTATCTTCTTCGCTCTTCACTCCTATGACCTGTCTCGCCACCCTTTCTCACGTCAAATGTAGGCGTAACCACCATAATGAGTACGACCTCTCGTATGGTCATTGCGCATTCAAGAATTGATAAAGCGAGGCCAATCACTATGCGTCCATGTCTCAATGATGTACATTAGAGCACCTGCACAGACTAACAGCTCAACGCGCACATTCCCCGACGCGTTTCGCCTGGCTGCGCACCAGGGCTTATCAAGGGGTTATCCACTCTCCCGCATCCACCGTAACGTTCCACCTTGAGCAAAGAGGGCCTTCCTAGCCTTGCCCTCCTTAGATATAGCCTGCGCAGACTCCACGTCTGCAACTGACTCGGTGGGCGCTTACCTGACTCACTCGTAACTGACCTGGCGTGTACGTCCGCACGTCCCGTTTTCCCACCACCTCACGTGCGCTTCTTTGCCTACGCCAAATTTCCAAAAAGCACGTGTACCAGTCGACGGTAGGGACATACAGTACTACTCAGGCATTTTCACCTGTTGTACCAGGCCAGCCTTCTGTACTATGTGCTTGCTGGTCTGGCAACTCACCCGTTTTTTCCGGTTCCGGCCCTATCAGCCACCGTGTCCCTCGTCTAGTCTCTGCCTATGCTATCTTCCTAGAGTACGGGCATTTCACTATTTCTCCCAGTCCCCAGACTCGTCTTTCCCGCCCTCTGTCCAGCTGTAACAACCTCGTGCTACTGCCGGTGCCTAGGCCGGATCCCTCCGGATTAACTCTATTGGTCCTCGTGGTTCACAGCACTCGAGCCCACGATTTTCCCTTGCTTTCTAGTGTACACCCCAGATTTTCCGGGCCCTGCTACTTCCCTTGTCGCTTACGGTGCTACTCTCCCTGTCCCCTCTACTAATTAATGTACACCCCGGTTTGCCCGGGCCCTATATCCTTCCCTTCCCCAGTGCAAAGCTACTCGTACCTCTACCCTCCCTACCCTCACGCTCATATCATACACCCTGGTACTAGGCACTCTGTCCTCCCTCGTTCCTGTCTCCTTGCTTCATCGTAGGCTCCCTCCTCTCACGTTCCCATGCCTGCTCCCTTCGATCTTCCTGTAGTATTCTAACCGTCTCTCTCTCTCTCTCTCTCTCTCTCTCTCTCTCTCTCTCTCTCTCTCTCTCTC